TCAGCTAAGGAATGAAATAGCATCTTTTCACCAGGGCGACGATGAATCCATGTATGAGTGTTGGGACCGTCACAAGAGTTTGTTTTGAAAGTGTTCAAATCATGGTTTTCACTATTAGAATCAAGTAGTCATGTTCTATAATGGAGTCAATGCACCCCACGAGGATGTTACTGGATGCCTCAGCAAATGGGAATTGCTGGATAAATCACCTACGGAGGCGTTTGCTATCTTGGACAGAATTGCTAACAATGACTATCAGTTTCCTTCTTCAATACTTGGGAGTGGGAGGAGAGCACCTGGAGCATTTGAGTTAGATACCAAGGATTCGATGTCCGCTCAACTCTCAGCTATCACTAACATGCTAAAAATTTACAACGTTCCACTGAGGTGAAGGAAGTGAAAGCATCTAGCTTGGCATGTTTGTTATGCCAAGGCAATTATCAGGAGAGCGAATGCCCGACCAACCATGAGTTTATCAACTTTGTAGGTAATTTCAATCGAGGCAACAACAATCCTTACTCTAACACTTATAATGCTAGATGGCGTCAACATCCAAATTTCTCATGGGGAAATCAATGAGCCCACAATGCTAGACAACCTACTCGGCAGCAGAATCACAATGAGCCTCAAAGTTACCAAAATGTTATGCCATAGCATAATACCAACAAAGGAGCTTCAACTTCAGTGAGCATAAGTTCATTGGAAGCTACCATTCAAGAGTTAATATCTACTACGAAGATAATACTGCAAGACCATTCTACTTCAATTAAGAATCAAGGAGCTTTACTTCAAAGTCAAGGCGCCTTACTTCAAAGCCATAGCTCATCTCTGAGAGCTTTAGAAGGTCAAGTTGGCCAGATTGCTACGGCATTGCAAGAGCGTCAGCAAGGACGTTTGCCAAGTGATTCTGAAGTCACTAAAGGGCATGGAAAATAGCATTGTAACGTGTTAACTCTTAGGAGTGGGACACAAATCAATCAACAAGTCAAGGCTAGTGGGCCACAACATGATGACTCTACTCCCACAACTGATAATGGTGAAGCTGAATTACATGATGATATCATTTTTGAGATGGACAAGGAGGAGGGTTCTTCTAATGATTCTGCTAAGGCACCAGATTCTGATGCCAAGGTAAAAGCAAATTCTATTCTTGCAGTTAAAGAATATAGAGCTCCATCACCCTTCCCGCAAAGATTGAAGAAGCATAATAATGAAGTTCAGTTCAAGAAGTTCGTGGACATTCTTAATCAGCTCCATATCAACGTACCTCTCTTGGAAGCTATTGAACAGATGTCGAAATATGCCAAATTTTTGAAGGAAATCTGTACCAAGAAGAGGAAAGTAGAGACTATTGCCACGGAAACAGAATTTTGTTCTTCATTGAGTAAGTTGCCTCCAAAGCGAAATGATCCGGGCAGCTTCATTATTCCTTATTCTTTTTGAGCTAATTTCGTTGGAAAGGCACTGTGTGATCTTGGTTCAATTGTCAACTTAATACCGAAATCAATTTTCTTGAAGCTTGGTATAGGGGATGCAAGACCCACCTCGGTTATTTTAAAACTTGCCGACAGATCCCATGTGAAACCTGAAGGGAGAGTTGAGGATGACATAGTAAGGGTGGATAAGTTTGTGTTTCTAGTTGACTTTTTAATTCTGGACTGCGAAGTTGATGCCAAGGCACCTATTATTCTGGGAAGACCTTTCCTAGCCACTGGACGTATCTTGATAGACTTTGAAAAAGGTGAACTCACCATGAGATTGGTTGATCAGTGTGTTACTGCCAATGTGTTTCGAACGCTCAAATATGTAGATGACATTGAATAATGCCAAGGCATTTTTGAATTGAACTCAGTAATTGAATAAGATACTGAACATCTTTTCCAGAATAATTTTATTCAGCTAGCAGAAAAGGAATATTGGGTGGATTATGAAAGCTTAGTGGAGTGCGACAGCTTTCCAATTTTGGAGGAGCAATCTAGCATACTACAAGTTAGATCAGGTAAAATTTTGAACCTCTGAATTTTAATGAATTTATTCCTCCTAAGCCTTCATTATTGCATGCACCTACTATAGAGCTTAAGATTTTTCCAGGACATCTTAAATATGTTTACTTAGGTAGCGATGAAACTTTACCGGTGATTATTTCCGCTAACCATACTATTAATCAAGAGAAAAGTTTGTTAAGTGTTTTGATGCAGCATAAGAAATTAATTGGTTGGACTATGACTGATTTGAAAGGCATTAGTCCTACGATCTGCATGCACAAGATTATGTTCAAAGATTGCCATGGCAATTCAATCGAACCACAAAGAAGACTCAACCCTATTATAAAGAAAGTGGTGATGAAAGTAACTCTGAAAAGAATTGATGCTGGAGTGATTTACCTTATCTCAAATAGCTCATGGGTGAGCCCTGTCTAATGTGTTCTGAAGAAAAGAGGCACGACGGTGGTTACTAATGAGGATAATAAGCTATTACCCTCTCGCACTATTACCATATGGAGGATATGTGTGAACTATCGAAAACTCAAAAAATCTACAAAGAATGACCATTTTCCTCTACCTTTCATCGACCAAATGTTGGATCGATTGGCCGGAAAAGCATTATATTGCTTTTTGGATGGGTACTAGGGGTCAATCAAATTTCCATCGTACCAGAGGACCAAGAAAATATTACATTTACTTGTCCCTATGGCACTTTTGCCTTTAGGATGATGCCTTTTGGACTTTGTAATGCCCCGACAACATTTCAACGTTGTATGCAAGCCATATTTTCAGACATGGTTGAGGATTTTATCGAGATTTTCATGGATGACTTTTCTATTTGTGGGGATGATTTTGAATGATGCCTCAGCAATTTAGCAAAAGTTCTCAAAAGATGCGAGGAGGCTGAGTTAGTCTAAAATTGGGGAAAATGTCACTTCATGGTGACTGAAGCCATTGTATTAGGACATAAAATTTCTTACAAGGGTATTAAGGTTGACAAAGCGAAGATTGAAGTGATTGAAAAGTTGCCACCACCAACTTCAGTCAAGGGCATAAGAAGTTTTCTTGGACATGCTGGATTTTATAGAAGGTTTATCAAAGACTTCTCTAAGATTTCTAAGCCCTTGTGCACATTGCTTCAACAAAACCAACCCTTTGTGTTTGACGAGTTATGCCTCGCCACATTCATTAAGTTGAAATGATGATTGATCTCGGTACCCATTATAGTTTCTCCTGATTGGACATCACCATTTGAGCTTATGTGTGATGCAAGCGATTATTCCGTATGAGCTATTTTGGGGCAACGTCAAGGTAAAATTTTTCATGTTATTTATTATTCTAGCCGCACTTTAAATGAAGCACAATTAAACTACACCACCACTGAGAAAGAATTACTTGCCGTGGTATTTGCTTTTGATAAATTTAGTCCTTACCTAATAGGCACTAAAGTTATTGTTCACACTGATCATTCGGCTATAAAATACTTAGTGAACAAAAAGGATGTCAAGCCTAGACATATTAGGTGGATCTTACTTTTGCAAGAATTTGACTTAGAGGTGGTAGATAGAAAATGAACTAAAAATCAAGTTGCTGATCACTTATCAAGGCTAGAAAACAATTATGAATGCCATGATATTGTATATATTAAAGAGGAGTTTCCTGATGAGAAACTTTTATATGTCACGACAATCTTGTAGTACGTTGGCCTTGTTAATTTTCTTGTTAGTGGAATATTGCCTTTTGATTTAGACAATCAGGCTAAAAAGAAGTTCAAGCACGATGTAAGGCACTATTTTTGGGATGAGCCATATTTGTTCAAGCATTGTGTCGATCAGCTCATTAGACGATGTGTACCCGAAGAGGAACAATGTGACATTTTGTACCATTGTCATTTTGCCGCATGTGGAGGCCATTTTGGTGGAGCAAGAACTGTTGCTAAGTTCCTGCAATCAGGCTTTTACTGGCCAAATCTGTTTAGAGATGCCCAAGCATTTTACAAAGCTTGTGATCGATGCCAACAAACTGGAAACATCTCCCGACGACATGAGATGCCACTGCAAAATATTCTGGAGATAGAGATGTTTGATGTGTGGGGCATCGATTTCATGGGACCATTCCCACCTTCTGGAGTAAATCTATACATCTTGCTTGCTGTGGATTATGTATCAAAATGGGTGGAAGCAATAGAAACATCAAGGAATGACTCTAAGACCGTACTCAAGTTTTTGCACAAGTATATTTTCACTCGGTTTGGAGTACCCCGTGCTATCATAAGTGATGAGGGAACCCACTTTGATAACAAGTTGATTGCCAAGGCATTGAGGAGATATGAAGTTCGACATAAGATTGTCACGGCATATCATCTGCAGACAAATGACCAAGCTGAGATTTCCAATCGAGAGATCAAGCAGATTTTAGAGAAAGTGGTAAACCCAAGGCGTAAAGATTGGTCGCCAAAGTTGGATGAAGCACTTTGGGCATACAGAACAGCGTTAATACTTCTTTTGGGGATGTCACCCTTCAAGCTGGTATATAGGAAAGCTTGTCATCTCCCGGTTGAACTTGAACATAAAGCTTATTGGGCCATCAAGCAATTGAATTTTGATGCTCAACTAGCTGGGGAGCAGAGATTACTGGAACTCAATGAAAATGAAGAGTTTAGAGTACAAGCATACAAGAATGCTCGGATATACAAGGAGAAAACCAAGAAGTGGCATGACCAAAAACTAATGCCACGGCATTTTCATGTGGGCCAACAAGTGTTGCTCTATAACTCCAGACTTAAACTTTTTTCCTGGAAAGCTCAAATCTCGATGGTCAGGACCATTTGAGGTGCATCATGTCTATCCTCATGGAGTAGTTGACATCAAGAATACAGATGGGACGATCATTAAAGTCAATGGCCAGTGTCTCAAAGTCTATAATAGAGTTCAACCACCGCACAACAAGGTAGTTTTGCACCTACATGATGTTGAAGAGTGCGCAGCTGAGAACCAAATTTCGATGCCACGACATTGAATTTGTGTCTGTGCATAAATAAAAATTTAAAATTTCATCTTTTCTTTATTTTTATTTTATTTTGTAGATAATTTTTTATTTGATTCGTAGGGACCACAGTGCTGCAAACCGTGCAGGGAGTGGTTACCAAGGGAGGAAAGGACAGCGCATTAAATGGGGAGATATTCTTTTGATTTGTTTCTTTTTAATTTATTTTATTTCTGACATTTCCTTTTCTCTTTCTATAGATTTTTCCTATCATTATCATTACTCTTGGTAGTTTTTTTCCTTCCCCATACACGCATTAACCCCCATCCACTCAAATTTTTTTAATCGTCCTATCACCCATTTTCCCACTCATTTTTTAACTTTTTCTTTTATATTTCATTATTAATTTTTTCTCTTTCATCTTTAACTTTTACTTTTTCTCTCTCATTTCTGCATCTTCTTCTCCTATTTTCTCCATAGCCAAAAATCCTTCAAGCTTTTAACACTCTCAAAGCTTCTTCCTTTTTCATTTTTCTTACTTCACAACCACTAAAAATGGTGCGTACAAGACCGGCCGCAACCGAGGCTTCCACTTTGCAACAGTTAGAGAACAATGAAGCCAAGGCATGCTTTTAAAATTTTAAGAACCGAAAGCTCTTCTTTGAGTTGGGTTTTATCTTTACCGAGGAAACCGACGATGGTTTTGGACCAGACTTGATGGATATTGTTACTCCACTCAAATGGAAGAAGTTTGCAAGGCATCCGGGTTTGGTGAATGCCTCGTTGGTTAAGGATTTTTACGCAAATATTTCCAAGCCAAACCAACACTCCATTTTCGTACGAGGTAAACAGATTGGTTTACACCCTCTGCGATTAATAGGTATTTTCATTTGTAGGATGTGGAGGATCGACATGCCACATTTGAAAATGATGTCGATAGCACCACATATGACGAGATTTTGGAGGATTTGTGCTTTGTAAACATTGAGTGGAATGGCCACCAAACTAGTCGATATTCGGTCAACGTGAGCATCTTTAGCCACGTGCCAAGTTATAGAACCACTTCCTCAAACACAAACTCATGCCTACTTCTCACAATACGACGGTATCACTTTCTCATTTAATGCTTTTACACTCGATCATGGTATCACGTCCTATTAATATTGGTCGAATCATTGTTCATCAAGTTCATGAGTGTTTGGGTAAAAAGGAAAGTGCTTTAGTGTTCCCTAATTTAATTACTGCTTTGTGTCGTAAGAAAAAGGTTGAAGAGAATGCTTTTGATGAAATTTTACCTGGAATTTCGGGCATAACTAGGGCTAGATTACCATTGCTATTGGGAATTGAAAATCCAAAGTCTAAAGATCATGCTCATGAGCAATCTACAGGTACTGAACAATCAAATGCCGAGGCAAGGTTGCTTGCTCTCGAGGAAGCTGTGATGCAGACTCACCTGCATGCTTTACATGGTGACATCCGTAATTTCTTTGGATATGTGAAGTATAGAGATGTTGTGGTGGAAATGATGTTTCAAGAAATTATTCCCCACGGTCAATGGAATTTCTCTAGCTTTGCGGATGAAATTCTGTCGGCATTCAATGCCGAGGCATCTCCATAGCCCGAGAAAGATGCAGTCGATCCTCCAGTTGATGAATCGACTCCTGATCCACACCATTCTAAGACCCTTGAATATCCGTCTATTGTCCCTGTTGAAGAAACACCCAGTCCAGTTCCTGCACCTGATCCTTCTATTACACCACGTAGTGGCCGACGCACCAAAACCACGGCTGGACACAGGAATATTGTGCATTATTACTCTAGTTCTTCAGAGTCCAGCCCAGCACCACTACGTAAGCGCACCAGACGAGGAGCTGCCAATAGCTCCAAGGCAACACCACCACGCAAATCTTGAGGTACCTCACTTGTATTCGTTTTTATTTAGTTTGCATTTCATTGCATGGAATATAGTTTTTATTTAGTTTAGTTCTCTTTAAAGCATTGAGGACAATGCTTCCCTTAAGTTTAGGGGAGGTAGTGTTCTCGGTAGAGCATATGCATGATAACATTAGCATAGTATTATGCCATGGCATCAGTAAACGGTAGGTTAGTTAGATAGAATGTTTTGAGGATACACGATGATGATGAATTTTTTTAGGCTAGAATTTGAATGTAAATGACTGTTGAGAATGATAGAACTCACTCTAGGGCTTAATACTTTGTGAAAAAATTTACACGATTTGTATTTTCTCTATACTTAGAAAATTTGGAAAATTTTTATGAAGGAACTCTATTTAGTTTTGGCATTGAAATATAGTTTTGTGCTTAAATGAAAAAATCAAAAACAACTCCCTTATATATGAAACTATGAATAAATGCTTAGGCATAGCTGTAGAGGGACACTCCTCTTTGCCGTAGCATTGCCTAGAACTCTCTTTAATAATGGCAGCCTCGCGCATATGAGTGAATGAAAGTAGTCACAGGATGACTCTACTTAACTAGCTCGGGGTGGAAGGTATGCTCCCTTTCACCTAGAGTGTGGGAGAGTAGGTGTGATGAGTTGACTCCCTTTGTAACAACAATTAAAAAAAGTTCAGTCAAAGGGAGTAAAAATATGCTTAATGAATAAGTAAATGCCTTGGCAAAAACTAGGGACTTGAGTAGATTTTGTCTAAATTTGCTAAGTATAGATTGGATACAATCACGCACACACACCACCACAAAGAATCTTGACCTAGGGAAAAATACTTGAATTATTGATATGTCTAGCATGTTGAAGCCTATTGTTCTGAGGGTTGAAATTCAATTTTGACCTACTAGCCTACTGTTGAAAATTGCCATGACATTCTACTTATGTAACTGCTATCCATTGCTTGAGGACAAGCAATAGCTTAAGTTTGGGGGTGTGTTAACTTCCTAAAAAGGTTACTTTTAAGGCCATTTTCACTTAAGTTATTGTTTGTTTAAAAGATCATTTTAGCCATTTTAGGATCATGTAGTTGCATTTGCGGTGGTAGTGCTATTTTATCTCTTAATGGTGTTGTATGAGAGAAAGGTGCAGCTGTTTGTGGTGTGCAAGGAATAGCAGAAAAAAGGATTCTTCGGGAAGTAATGTCACGGCATCACACATTGCTAAAGCAGATTGAATTGCCTTAGCATTTCTGGTGCAGAAAACGACAAAAAGATATAGTTGTACGAGGACAGCTGGCTCTGCACGTGAAATGATTGTTGTAACTGCCTGCCAGAGGACCACTGCCACCTGGAGGATAAGGTTCACGCATATGGTGTGATTCTAGGGGTATGAGGGGTATTTTGCACCCAACAACCTTATCATTACCCTTAGATATTTTTATTATATATGACACCTCATTGGAGAGAAGAAGAGATAGGGGACACGCACACGCATAGGGTAGAGCAGAAAAATCTCATTTTTATTTTCTTTTTCCCTTCTTCTTCCTTGGGTTTTCCTCCATTGATAAAGCTCCAAGGAGTGGAGAGCTAGGCGTCTGAGAGGAGCTAGTGAGATAAGGTGGTTCGTGGTGGCCGAGGAGACCTCCGGTGGCGCGCGTCAAAGGCTTCTTCTCACTTCCCTTTTACCGTTATTTTTTATATTATTTTTTGGGTTGTTGGAACGAATATTTTATGGCTTGTTCTATGGATATTTCGAACCCCACCATGAACTAACTTATTTGGTAGTGGTTGGTTTAATGGATTGTTTAAACTTTATTTTAATGGTATATTTATTTTTATCTTGGTTATTTGCTTGCTTTGCTTATGAAGACTTCACCATCTAAGCTTGTAAGAGGCATGAGAGTGTCTATTTCTTAGATGAAGGTTAGGTGTTCAAGAAAACCTAAGCTAAAAATACTTGTAGTATTCGAGAGTAACACAAGACAAGATCCTCATAAGCAATGGGTTATAGTATTTTCAAGGGGCTTTAAACCGGCCTAGGAATACTATATCCTAATCTTAGTACTAGAAAGAGACTAAGATAGGATTTCAACGACTAAAAAGGGCGTTTTTATCAATAGTGTGGTATGTCAACATCGTTGAGTGAGAGAAGATGCCTTGGCATTCCATTTTTGTTAGGTTCTATTGACTAGATGGAATACTTTAGGAAGACCCTGTCGAGTAAGTAAAGATTAGATAGCTTAGATTTGCCTGAGAAATAAGTTTAGCATCCTTAAATCAATCCCTACATTCATTCTAGTGGAAGTTTGTCGTGTGAGGATTATCTATTCATATTTTATTTGTTTTTATTTACTGTTTTTACCATTTTTAATTGCCTCGACATTACACCATTTTCAACACTAAACATTTGTTCTTGCCACTTCATTTCCATTTGCTACACCATCAGTCCATTCATCTACATCCACCTTCATACACGTTCCATTTGCTGTGACATTTGTATATATCAAGACTAACTATACTTAGATAGAATAGAGCATTGCTTTGGTTAGACTTTTGTAATTTCACCCAATCCCTGTGGAGACGATACTCACTCATCACTGTATTACTTTAGCGATTGTGTATACTTGCACATTATTTGCGTATAATTTTATAGTACTCACAAACGCAACAACCAGCCCGAAGACGAGCCAGCTAGGCAAGACAGTACAATGCCTCCATACTTTTAGTATTTTATGGAGGCATTAGACTTGAGGTTCGTTCTTAGAGTCCCACTTGACTGCTATGGGAACTCAATAGTTGGAGAATCAAAGGGAAATTCGAGCTCAACGAGTAGCAATGGATATTCGATTCAATGTTGTAGATGAGAGACTCGACGCACTAACCTACGATCTTGTTTTCCTTAGAGGACATCGATTTGATCCCGATCCTCCTACGGATGATTAACCAATCTTGCTAGTTTTCTTTTTAGTTGATCTTTGGTTGAACCTAATATTGTCTTAAACATTTTGATGAAATTATGTATTTGAATATTTGGATGTTTGTTTTGAATATTTGTTTGTTTTGGATATTTTGTGATTTGGATGTTTAATTTTGAATAATTAGACTTTTGAACTTAATTGAATGATTATTTCATTAGTTTATGCATCACTTACATTTTAGATCAAATATGACCAATCCCTATTGCATATTGTTTATGAATATTGATTATGTTGACTAATGGCTAATATTTCTCTTGACTTTGATCTTAGCACTATATACATATATATACATCAATTTGGCAAACTTGATTAAAATTTATAGTCTTTTTGATTTAACAAAAAGGGGGAGAATATAATAGTGGGAGAGTAATAAACTTTTCAAAATGATCTTTCAAAAAGAAAATCTTAAAATTTAAAACATGTTTTGTTATATCAAAAAGGGGGATATTGTTGAAAATATTTTGATTTTTCGATATAACAAATAAAGTGTTAATGAATTTTAAGATTTTATATTTGATTTAAATATTATATTCGATTCAATTATTCAAATATCACAAATATTACTCCAAGTTTCAAATATCAATTTTTACTCCTTACTAGATGGAAAATTGAGATTTATACTTAGTATTTTTGAAATATTTTTTACAAAGTATTTCAAACCATAATCGAGTCAAAATTGAGTTTTTAATAGGGAAGTACCGATAGCCTCTTTAACGAGTATTGATACCCCTCAAACATTGAATGCAAAAGAGGTACTGATACCCTATAGGGTATCGATACCCCTATATAAAGTAGTATCGATACCTAGCCAAAGGTACCGATACCATCTCTTTTGATTTTGACTCCGAGAAATAACAGAATGCAAAATGGGTACCGATACCACGACCGATATCGATACCTCTTTACATAGAAGTATCGATATACTCTTGAGAGGTATCGATACCTATGAGTTTGCAACGGTCGAAATATTTGAATTTTATATAGGTAGTATTGATACCCATACGCTCCCAACAGCTTTTTGAAGTGGAAAACATACAACAACGGCTCTATTGACTTCATGATCATCCCTAACGTTAAGAAATCATTCAAGGGGTATTTAAACAAGTCTTGAAGCCATTGATGAATAACAAGAAACAAGTTTTGAGAAAGATTCAAAGAGAGAAAGCCTTAAACTTATTGTTTGAGCAATTCAAGCCAAAATCCATTCAATATTCATTTTGCTTTCAAGAACACCATTTGTGCTCAATTGTATTCATTCTTGAGTGTTCTTTCTTTGTTCTAGAATTGTACAAACATCTTACCTTGTGAGGTTTTTCTATAAGTTTGCAAAGTTTGTAATTTTCTCTTTGAGAAGAGAGTTTCTCAAGAATTTGGGGTATAATTCTTGAGGGAGTTGTAAGGTTACTCTTTGTCCTTAAAATAAAGACAAATTAGTGAATTTGTGGAAAATCCTTAGTGTGGATAGCTAAGGTAGTGGACGTAGACTTTGGTTGAGAAAGTCGAACCACTCTAAATCGTTGTGCAAATCTTTTCTATTTTCCGTCAAAGTTTCCACTAAAATTTTAATTCTCAATTTACCCTCTCTTGGCTATTTCATCGTATCGATTAACTCAACAAATTGTACAAACCACTACTTATACTTAAGAAAGATCCTTACAAATTTTTCTCCAAAAAGATAATATTCACGTGGACCACGTCCATGTCCAAGTCCACGAGCCCAATCGCGAGATTACCCTTTGTTCTCTATCACTCAACAAAGGAATGAAGAATGAACACTATAAATATCCAAGCTGTGTGGTATTTCCCACTCAATGTGGATAATACTTTTTAGAATTACCAACATTTATAAATTTCAAGTTTAGAGTTTAATTAATTTTTTTCATAAATTTGCTCCGATCATATTAAGAATAGATTTTGAGATCTCTACTTGAGAAAAATTTTAAAAATAACATTTTTATATATTTATATATCATTAGTTAGGTTTTGCTAAAAAATATATGTAAAAAATAACATATAAGTTATTAAAAATATTATATTAAATTAAAATATATTTTAATTTTAATTTTATTAAATCAAATCAATTTATATTACAAGTTAGCTTATAAGGTCCTGATATAATAACTTAACCTCGTCTTGAGCATTTAAAAAGAATAATAAGCCGCTCTCCCTCCCCTTTTTTTCTTTTGAGTTTGTATTGTTTTTTATAGATGATTTTTTTGGATTTTGTTTAGCCAAAAACAGTATTGATGTTAGTTGTAAACCGTTGTTTTTTATTTTATTAGTTTTTTAATAAGAATAATTTTTCTTAATGACACGTTTATCTCTATTTTTGTGGCATGATTATCTCTGCCTTTGACGCACGTTTATCTTTTTCTTTGTGATACATTTTTTCTAGGTCATTTGATCGTTCTTTTATTTATATTTTCTCAGGGTTGAATTTGATGACGCCACGACTGATCAAAATGACGTTTATTTGACATCTTGTTGAGTTTCCCTACTATAGACTTTCAGATTGAATTTGGATGTGTGACATTGCGTTTGTAGATAGTTTCTCACGACGTTCAGTTTTGATTTGTTGTTCCGATGGTCTTTCAGTAGCTTAATTTTCTTTTGTGGTTTGTTTGTTGATGTAATCAAATTTATTTTATTTTTGTTCGAGACTTTTGGTTGGACTTTTAACATTTTCTATGTATGATCTTTATATGATCTAAAGGGCCTAGTTTCAATATTATAGAAAAAATTCAAATTATGTATTTAGTTTACTATGAAAGTTGTAAACTTTTATGATAATTTCGGATATTTTTACTTTTTAACAATACTAATGGCTAATAACAATAATATAAAAAAATTAAAAATTTTGTTAAATCAAATTAAATCAAACTTTCATTTAAATTTTAAAATAAAATTTAAGATCCTATTTGATAGTTATGGCATCGAATCAGATTGAGAATTATGGACAAATCTTAAAATAATAATTAAAGGTTGAGAATTGTTTCCAACATTTTTGTCCCACTTTGAGAAAGCAAAAGCAGGAAGAAGCAAGAAAGAAAATAACAAAGAAAAATAAAAAAATAAAAAAAAATAAAAAAATCTCAAGACCTCAATGATTCAAATTCTCACATAATAGAACTTTGAGAAGGACTCTCTCCTTCTCTCTTACCTCTCTACTCAAAAACCAGGGTATCTGTAACTCTCAATCTTTCTTCTACAGATACTTGTTTGGGGATCTATCTTGAACAAAAGGGAAAGTGAAAGAGTAAGTTTTCAAGTAATTAACACCATACCACCACCACCATGAACCAAGGAGTGTTGCAGAGCTCATCTGTGCAACAGCTGATGGCCGGAAACCACCCTGACTGGTGGAGCATCAACACCATGCGGTCACCACCAACTCATCATCAACAGTCACCACCAACTCATCATCAACAGTCACCGTCTGCTTTCTTCCCCCAGCCGCCACCGCCACCTGCTTTCTTCCCTCAATTCATCCCTACCTCCACTTCTTCTTGGCATGATAACCAGGAGCTTCCCGAGTCATGGACTCAACTACTCTTGTAACTCTCCCTAACCCTTTCTAGACCATTAACAAAGATTTCCCCTCGATTCAGATATGGTCGATTTAGTTTTACGTTACGTCCGTGTTGATTTGTAGGGAGGGTTGGTGGGAGAAGAAGAAAGGCGAAGCATAGCATTACACCATGCCTCAACTGGTAACTCTATCGTGGACACAAAGCAAGAGGAATATGTCTATGCTCGTCAGATAATGGCTGCTCCAGCTTCATCACCCAAGTCTTGTTTAACAACAACAACAACAAGTTTCAGCAATAACATGTTGGATTTTTCTTGTAACAAAGCCGAAGAAAGGCAACCACATTTAGATCGATCTTCTGAGGTACTTTAGGGTTTCTAATACATGAACATAGTCATATTCAGATTGCTGTCCAATCAGAATTATCATATTTAATCTTTATTTTGTGTGTGTTCTGTGTATATGTAGTGTAATAGCAGCACTGCAACTGGTGGGACATTGAAGAAAACTAGGGTTCAACCTTCTCAATCTACCTTCAAGGTAGGAAACCCTTTCAACCTCTCCTTTTTCTCGACTCCATTACACGACTGTCCAAACACATTGCACGCACACTCGCAAGCAAAAGAAGCTGTTGTCCTTGTTCGATTGTCGATTTCTACCAGGATGATTATTCTTCTGGCTTTTGTTATGTGTACCCTTTCATTTAATTTCTATTAACGTATGAAAAAGAGAATATTGCAGCTGAGGAAGGAGAAGCTGGGAGATAGAATTACAGCACTCCACCATCTTGTTTCACCATTTGGGAAGGTAAATCTAAAGATTTTTAACTTTGTTAATTGTAAATATTGTGAAGAATCTAATAAAAGAAAGATGAGAGGCTAGCAAAATGACATTGAAGGGTTGTGGTTATTTCACTTTTGCAGACTGACACAGCCTCTGTCTTGTTAGAGGCTATTGGGTACATTAGATTCCTTCAGAGTCAAATTGAGGTGATGTTTCTTTCTTCCTCTCTCTTCCTTTTTGCAAAGAACTGCGAAGCCAGTTTCCTTTACACAATATTACTTTAGTTATATATTGAAGTCCTAAATATTATATGTAGGCTCTCACCTTACCGTACATGGGCAGTGGATCATCTGGAAACATAAGGCAGCAACAACAGTCTGTAAGAAAGAAAAACACTATGCCTTCCTTAATTTCCCAGAAAATAAAAGGACACATTTCTCTCTATTTCAACCTCTCTGCATGTGAATATACATTTGATAGATCTTGTGATTATGGGTTCAGTTGAAATACCTAACAATAAGGTATTATGTTCTCGAGATGACATTATTGTAGAATATCCGAGAGTTTGACTCTCTATCCTGTAATGGGTACGGAGGAGCATCTCAGAGGGAAGGGCATGATCTGAAGGTGGCGTAGGGCATAGAACACTTATCGTGACTTAACTTTCGATGCTTAGTCTCGTCACAATTATCCGATTGAAGTGTTTGGTGATGGCGGGACCTGATTGCAGAACATGAACTTGAAGGATTTGATGGAGTAATTGGAAAAATGATGGCGCAATTGGAGAGCAAAGAGCGTCGAGGGATCCACCAGTCCCACGCCAAATCATAAGGGATTGTGCGTGGGATCGATCCCCCCACTTACGCAATTTGCCTTGAGTTTACTCCAATTGCTTCATTTAATGTCGATTGGTCCTCGAAACTTCATTGACTCTACAATTCAGTCACTGTCATCGTCAAGTCCTTAATGGGATTATTGTTGAGATGCCTTAGTATTGGGATATAAGTCACGATAAACGCTCTATATCCTACAGGATATTTGGACTGTGCGCTCCTCAAGACCCGCTTTGAGGATAGATAAACAAAACTTCAGACATTTCACCAAGTATCGTCGTATGAATATACTATATGGTTGTTTGAAGATTACGACCGACCACAAAAATAAAAATTGAGAAATCCCTCAACAATATGCCTTTGTCATGAAAGTTATAAATAAAATTCAACTCCACTAAAGTTTTGATGAGTGTAAATTGATATATGATACTAATGGTAATGGACATACACCTTATCAATGAATTAATAAATATCGGATTTGATGTATGCTATTCTGTTTTGGTCTAGCTGTTGAATGAAAACTGCATGAAGAAGAGGAAAGGTGGTCCAGATGATCAGCAGGTAATTCTTGAACACTAACATTGTATCGTGTACAGTGTACACATATATACAAGTTTTACAGATATGAAAACAACAAAATTTCCCTTTGCATTCTCTAGGATTCTAATGAAGACCCACAGAAGGACCTGAAGAGTAGGGGGCTTTGCTTGGTTCCTGTATCGTGTACACTTCAAGTCGGGAGGGACAACGGAGCAGATTACTGGGCTCCTCCTCCTTTTGGTGGCGGTTTCCGATAGACATCAGCTTATTAGGGTTCTCGGAAAATGGTAGCATTGTACACACACATGGGAGCTTCATGTGGGAAACGATATAACATCATGAGCAGTCAATCTGCTAAAGAAAGTTTCAAAGGCTGATTGCTCATGATGCTATACACAACATGTTGTTAATTTTCATTTTGGACTATTTTTAGATGATGACGTGTGCTAATTGCTAACCGCTTTCTTCTATGATTTAAGCTTATTCCTACATCTTTGATCTTTAATTAAACCATTTGCTTGCTTTAAATTAATCATGTATTAGTATGCATGTATGTAGTATGAAATAACATTTTTAGTAGTTCATTCATAAACTCTAATGAATAATTAAATTAAAGATAAATTCGATCAGTTTGGCTCGGAAAATAACTTGAAATAGAAACAAAATTATATAAACTTAGAAGAATATGAACCCAAAATGACCCAAAAGAGCAACCCAAATTAGAATGAGAGATCTAAATGACAAAACTTGAAACGATCTAACCTAAAAAAGCTCTATCGGTTACCTTAGGTTTTCTGATTACAGCAACAGCACATGAGGCAACATTTCATCAAATATTCTCCTTAACAATGTTTGGTATAAACCTAAAGAAACATTCGCAGTGGATGGTGTAAAGTTAATGCATAAAAAAGAAATGGTTAATTGCTTTGGATAGTTTCCAACTATGAGCCCAATTCTACATTAGCTTTAAACTTTAAAATATTTCAACTAAATTCTCAAATTAACACATTGTTTCGTCAATGTAGCTGTCGAATTTGACGTTTAGTTGGAGTAACTTATTATATATTTTCTGAATGTTTTCATCTCCTTCCTGGATTTATAACCGTTGGGCTTCAATTTTGGGCCAATGGTTATAGGTTCCGTACCGGTTATTGAGTTTTTTGGGCCCAACCCCAAACACATGAATTATGACTCAATAGGGCAACTAAAAATTTAATTTGTAATTTTCGATCAATGCTACAGTAAAAGGCAAACTTGTCACGTTGACGTGACAAGTCTATTAAGAAATTAATTTATTTTAAATTCATTAAATAATTTTTAAATTTTTTTAAGAAAAACTACAAAACTTATCACGTAGAGGAGATGGGTTTACCTTGAATTTTAAAAAATTAAGTGTTTATATTCGTTGTGCAACGAGAAGCTGCAACAATCATATTTCAACGGTCAACATGGAACTCATCACCTCAAAGTAACGAGTTTGTTGGGATTTTTGAAAAAAACTAGTCGTTTAAGGATGTTGGGTTTAGGGTTATTAATAGGGGTTTGAGTTTATATTTTTTATTGTGTTTTGTTAAGAAAATAATTGAGAAAAATTCGAGTATTTTGAAAATTCTCGAAAGATGTCTACCCGAGATGAAATGTTACGCCTTGATGATGTCCATATTTCTTCGCTCGAACTCGATCCGTAAGAAGAACGATACATTTGTCAACGAGGAATGACTATGAGAGATTCGCATCAGTGGATTATTATATATCTACAACAATCCGAGTTGTATTAGTGACATTTCTGCGTTGTTTTAAGGTGAACCCGATTGATTTCGGTTTTGATTGAACGTTGGAGGCTTGAGACGCATACTTTCCATTTTTCAAATAGTGAGCGACAATCACATTGGAAGATGTCGCGTATCAACTTGGTGTTCGATTAATGGTGTAACACTAGTGAGACACAACGATTCAACCGGTTCAGAATTGTGCACCAATTTTTGGGAAAGATGCCACCACTAAGGTCTTAGAGGGGTACCAGATACAGATCACTTGATTGGAGTTAGAATTTAATGTGACAAACGACTCTACCGAGGATGAGGTTATTTTTGCAATTCGAGAGTATTCTCCAATTGATTGGAGAGATATTGTTATTGGATAAATCTGTAATTTGACGCACATTCGATATCATCGGTCGACATGCGATAAATATTAATTTTTTAAATTACTAAAATTTGTTTAAATTTTTTCAATTTATTTATACTAACTTTTATTATTAATGTTTATTGTTTTCTTGGATACCGTATTAGGACTATGAGATCTACCAGTTACTGCCATCGAGATTTTTGAAGGTTCAGAGTTGTGGTGTGAAGGTTCGAAGTTGTGGTGTATCGCTATGCCTTTGCTACACTTTACAATTGTTGAGATGTACGTCGCATATAGAGTGTTGTGACAATTTGTTTCTCATCAACCAATTCCTACGCAAAAATTTGATATGGACACGCTCCATAGAATTGATACACGTGAAAATCATAAAGATAATTAGTCGAGGAAACATGTTATCTATATTAAGAAATGGAATCAACGTTATTTATCGATCTCTATGTGTTAGGAGATTACACCCGTTGACTTTGATTTTGACATTTCTTTCTACCTCCGAAATTATGAAAAAATGAGAAACAATATTTAACGACACTAAAAGAGAGGGAAGAATGGGAACAAGGAAATGTCAAATTCATAAATGCCAAGAAATCATCGACATGTTCATCTTAAGCTTATATTTTGTCGATTATTTTGTATTTCAAACCATTTATGGGTTTTATCCTCCATATAATGCTTCAACAGAGACTCAACCGAATTAGGTTCAAGGTTCATTGGATGCAATGCAAAACACTCAAGCATTTACGACAGAACATGCGGGTGAGGGTGAATGGGATCATATTATATACGATTAACAAGGTAACCAAGTCAAGTCAATGACAGCAATGATGGCGTCAATACCATAAATAACCCATCACCGTATTTCAAAGGTGGATCTCAAAGTAGAATGATGTTTAGTACACCTACTCTTCACGAAGCAAACAAATATGAAGAAGAAGACGATCAAGGACGACGACCCCGATGTACTCAACGAGCCCCACGTCATTATCATTCGACCACTTATCGACATCGTCAAGAACTACGAAAATATAAATAAATTTTGTTATGCATTGTATTAGTTTGTAAGAACTCTTTTATTGTTATTTTGTAATAAAATTATTTTGTATTTATTTATTTTTTAATTAATATATTTTTTAAAAATTATATTCGATAGAATTCATCATATCGACGTGACGAGTTTTAATAGTTTTTTTTAATTTCAAAAATTGTCCATTCAACCGTTACACAATGACTAGTTTTTTTAATTCAAAACAAATTCGTCACCTCAATATGATGAGTTTGATAGTTATTTTAAAAAAAATCTATTTTAAAATTATTTAATGAAATTTTAAAAAAATATTTTTTTAATAAATTTATCACGTTGATCTAATGAGTTCAAATAAATATATTAAAAATAATAATCTACATAGAATCTACATACATGAGATCATTAAAAATGTTTTTAAATAAATTTGTCACCTCAAGTTGAGAAATTTACTTTTACTATAGTATTTGCCGTAAATTGTAAATTAAATTTTTAGTTGATCGGGACAAACAATTCACATGCATGAGGCATTGAAAAAGAACCCCAGTTTTGAGTACCTTATCCATTTCGTAAACGACGACGTCTGTCTTCGTTCTTCCTACTCGCTTGAATGCTCTGAAAGTCGGAAAAGAACCAACCTCACAGAATCATTAGGCAAAGGAAGGGTAAAATTGGAGCAACCACTACGAAAGAGCTGGAGCATCCACACCTGACCCGAGTTCACCGCCAAGTACGAGATCCTGGAGCTCGTTGGTTCAGGCGCCTCCTCCGACGTGTACAGGGCGCGTCGTCTCTCCGACGACCTCATAGTCTCCCTCAAGGAAGTCCACGACTACCAATCGGCGTTCAGGGAAATAGTGGCCTTACAAGTGCTTCGAAACTGCCCCAACATCGTCGGTTTGCACGATTACTTTTTGCGGGAAGACGAGGACGCCGTGCTCGTCTTGGAGTTCTTGAGGACCGATTTGGCGGCAGTTATCCGCGACGCGGAAAAGAAGGGAGGTGGGGTCCGATTCGGTGAAGTTAAGGTGGATGCTATGCTCCAGGTTTTGTGCGGGCTTGACGCTTGTCATCGGAATATGATCGTTCATCGGGATTTAAAGCCTGGTAATTTGTAGCTTTGATAAGTGAAATGCGGTGATCTTGGATTAAGTTTATTTCAGTTGGAAAGTTGACATCTGCCAAGATAATATTTTGATGATCAAGTAAGCTAATATAGATCAATTTGGAGCTTGCCAATTATTTCATTTTGAATTTCCAACAAGGAAACTTGTACATATCAATGAACACGTAGCCAGTGTCTAAACCGGCTGGTTGAGTTTTTAAACTTCTCTATTGGTGAATAAAATACCAATCTTACTAGTATTATGCTGAACTTTTTTTTTGGGTTCTTGAACTATGTAGCAGATGCTTCTCATCATTTATCTAATTCATAAGCTAATGAATTACTGTGAAAAAACATATGCTTTAGTTGGTGAAATTCTTCTTCTTTTTTTTTTTTTTGAAAGAAAAAGACAGAATACTTAATTTCAAACTTTAGCCATACTTAACTAGGATAATCCATGCCAAATCCTAGGTGGTCGGCACATTCAATGCCATAGTGTGCAAGTGCATCGGCTAGCTTTTCACGGAACATGGTACATAGTGAAAGGAAAGGCACGTCGGTAGGACACTTTAAGAGCTTCAATCACGCTTGTACCTCCAAAATTTTTGCATTGGTTGCTCTCGGATAGTGTCCTGTCAAGCCATTAGTAACTTGGCTCTCTCTCGGTCTTGAGTAATAATTCCAGTAACTCCTATTTTTGTAGCCGGAATAAAAGGGGAATCAGGTTGATTGGATTCTTCTAATTACTGCATTATTTTTTTTTTGGTGGGGGGGGGGGCGGTGGGTCTTCATCCATATGCACATTTTGTCATAGATGAGGTGATGACATTTGCATTTGTTACCGGTTTTGATGCTGAATTCTATTAGACTTTTGCTTCTTTGTTTGAATTGCAACGATTTCATTAGGAGGTCCTTTTGATTCCCTGATAATTACGACAAATATCAGCACATTGTCCCATGCATTATCAGAAAATGATGGTTCATTTCTGTGTCAATAAACGGTTAATGCATGCACAGGCTGTAAAGATTTGGCACCGACATTTCTTGTATCTATTTTGAATGATATAATCTGTTTCCGGTTATTTAAATTTTGTGGATTTGGTGTGAGGCCACATTTTGTTTTTCATTCACGCTTTCCTGTTTCAAATCAGGTACAATCAAAAGGGAAGAAAATGTCTCCATTAATGTACCGATGGCTCCTTAGCTGCTAGAGCTTTCCGGCTCTTAGTTTGAGTAGTACTAGAAAATGCTTCCTAGAATGTTATGGTTTCTCAATGTTGAGAACACTTTGATATTTTGATATACCAAAAATTGTTAAATAGATTTTACAAATTTTAAGATTATATTCGATTCAGTCATTTAAATATATAAATTATTCTTTAAAGTTAAAAAGTCAATTATACCAAAAATTGTTAAATAGTTTTTACAAATTTTAAGATTATATTAGATTCAGTCATTCAAATATATAAATTATTCTTTAAAGTTAAAAACTCAATTTTACTCATCACTTTACTGAAAATTGAGTCCTATATTGGAAATATTTTTGAAATAATTTTACTAAGGGTTTCGAACTTTAATCAAGTCAAAAGCGATTTTTAAGCATAGTAGTACAGATACTACTAGAACAATATCGATATTGTTCAAGAAGTATCGATATTGTTCAAGAAGTATCGATACAGATTCGATGCTGAAGTCCAAAACAATGAAGTGGTACCGATACTGCTAAGGCAGTATCTATACTGTCAAAACATAACGCTAAAATTGTACTGATACTATATACGGCATCAATACTACTTAGTATAGTAGTATCGATACTCTTAGTTGTGGTACCGATACTACCTTTTTGGTTTTGAATCTGTCAAATTCCAGTATACTAAAATGGTACTGCTACTATGTACAGTATCGATACTACTGAATATAGTAGTATCGATACCCTTGTGATAGTATCGATACTATAGTCTCCTAACGATCTAATTTTTGTATTTAATGCAAGGAGTATCGATACTGAGAGACCGAGTACCGATACTACAAGCTTTTGAGCAGCATTTAATGCGTGAAACTGCCCCAACGACTCTATTCACTCTCACAACAACTCAAACGATTGGAATTGAATGAGGGAGTATAAAAACAAGATCCCAAGTCATTTGTGTAGATAAAAGACAAAATAGAAAGTCATAAACAACAAATTTGAGTCAAATCAAGTCAACATTCTTCAAAATTCTTTTTGCTTTCAAAGAACACTTCTTGTACTCATTTGTATTCATTTATCAAGTGTTCTTATTTGTTCTTGAATTGTGCAAACACATTCCTAGTGAGGATTTTATAAGTTTGCAATTTGTAATTTTCTCTTTAAGAGAGTGTCTTAAGAATTTGGGGTATAATTCTTGTAGGAGTTGTAAGGTTACACCTTTTCCTTAAAGGTAGATACAAATTAGTGAATTTGAGGAAATCCTTAGTGTGGATAGCTAAGGTAGTGGATATAAATTTTGGTTGATAAAGTCGAACTACTCTAAATTCTTGTGTTCATTTGTTTACTTTTTCTCTCAAGCTTCCACTAATTTTTTTAATTCCAATTCACATCCCTCTTGGTTATTTCATCCTTTCGATTGAATCAATAATTGATATCACAACTAGACTCATTGGAAGGTTTAACCACCTCTTGAGAAGATCCTAAAAGAGTTCAATCGTCATCCAAGTCATTCGTGGCCTCTACATCAAATTTCAAAATTGTTTGTGACTCTCAACCCATCAACAAGTCTCTATACTTCAGTGGAATCAACTATGCTTATTGGAAGAATATGATGAAACTCCTTATTCAAGCAATTGATTTGGGAGCTTGGAGAATCATGATGAAAGGCCACTCTACTCCAACTAGAGAAATAGAAATGTGGAGTGAAGAAGAAAAGAGATTGTTCCAACTCAACGCAAAGGCAATGCACATTCTATTTTGTGCACTTGGCCCCGATGAATATGGGAGTGTATTATCTTGTTCCAATTCCAATGAGATATGGGATACTTGAAGTTACTCATAAAGGAACAAATGAGGTAAGATAAACTAAAATTAGTATTCTCAATCATAACTACAAAAACTTCAAGATGAGACCGGGTGAAGACATTAAATCCATGACCGATCGATTTTCGATTACTGTCAATGGTCTCAAAGGCTTTGGAGAAGATATTCCTAACAAGAAGCTCGTTAGAAAGATGATCTATAGCCTTCCCAAGTCATGGTAATCCAAGAAGACCGCCATAGTTAAAGCAAAGAATATAAAGACTCTTACCTTAGATGATGGTGAAAGAAGAAGAATATCAAGAAAAGAAAGAAATGGAAAAGAAGAAAAAGATTGGAATTGCTCTCAAGCCCACCAAAGAAGAGAGAGACTCAAATGATGAAGATGAGGATGAAGAAATGGAAATATTTTCCAAAAGATTCAAAAGATTCATGAAGTCCAACAAAGGAAGAAGATTCCAAAGAAAAGAAGACTTTAAGAATGAATCCAAGGAGGACACCATAATTTGCTATGAGTGTGAAAAGTCAGGGCATGTTAAATTTGACTACCCACAATTAAAGAATAAGGGATCTTCCAAGAAGAAACACAAGGCACATGTAGCTACATGGAGTGATGATGAGTCATCAAATGAAGAGGAGGAAGTGGTAGCCAACTTGTGTCTCATGGTCACTAAGGGAGAATCTAAGGTAACCTTTAACTAATCTACATTAAATGAATATTCTTTTGATGAGTCTCAAGAGGTTTATGATGAGTTAGCCTTGGAATTTGAGATCGTGCTTTCAAAACATAAGAAAAATATTTCAAAATTGAAAAATGAAAATGATCTCTTATCCAAGACCAATAATGAACTTGAAAGTAAGGTCAAGGATATGCAAGTCAAACTAGAGGAGTTTGAAATGAAAAATCATGACTTGCACAACCTACTTTCAAAGGTTCATGATGATTATGAAAAGAAACTTGATGATCTTAAAGCTTCGTTTAACAAAGTTGGAACAAATCGTTTTTAAAAAGGGCAAAATTATAAATCCAACTATGTTAGAAATAACTTTAAACCATACAATCATAGAGGTCCCCAAAGAACCTCAAATAAGAAAGTTGTTAGAAACATATGGGTCCCTAAAAGACTCATTACAACTAAAGACAAGAATATCCTAGAAAAATGGATACCTAAGGGGACTAGATTATTGGGAACTAATGCCTACCAAAAATTAAAACTTAATCTATGTTTGTAGGTGGAGGAGCATTGCTACAAGGCACAAAACAAAAGTTCAAACTCATGGTACCTTGATAGTGGATACTCAAGACACATGACTGGTGATAAGAGTCAGTTCTTGGAGCTTAATGCTAAAAGTGGAGGAGTAGTAACCTTTGGTGACAACTCAAAAGGTCACATTGAATGAATTGGTTTTATTGGTAACAACTCTTCCATTCTTATCGAAAATGTTTTATATGTAAATGGGTTAAATCATAATCTTCTAAGTATTAGTCAATTATGTGATAAGGGATACAATGTCGTATTTGAGTCTAATGGTTGCAAAATTGTTGACATTGCATCTAATATGATTATGCTTGTTGGTCATTGAATATGAAATATTTACATGGTGCATCTAGATAATATTGACATGTCTAATGTATATTTAGTTGCTAAAGATGAGCATGACTGTTGGTTGTGGCATAGGAAACTTTGACATGCTAGCATGATTGTTTTACAAAAACTTGTTCAAAGCAATCTTGTAAGAGGCTTGCCAAATATAAAATTTGATCTTGATAAAATTTGTGATGCATGTGCTAAAGGCAAGCACAAAATAACTTCCTTTAAACCTATTAACGTTGTATCATCTAGTAGAGTATTACAATTGATCCACATAGATCTTTTTAAGCCTATTAGAACTACTAGCTTGGGTGGAAAACAATATGCATTTGTATTGGTTGATGATTACTCTAGGTTTACTTGTGTTCTTTTCTTAAGTAAAAAAGATGAATATTTAGAAAATTTCATCAGTTTCTCTAAAATAATCCAAAATGAAAAGGGTTACTCTATTTAAGTGTTAGAAGTGACCATGGAACCGAATTTGAAAATCTTGGGTTTGTGGTTTTTGTAATTCAAATAAAATTAGCCATAATTTCTCAGCCCCTAGAACCCCTCAACAAAATGGAGTTGTTAAGAGGAAAAATAGAACTTTAGAAGAAATGGCTAGGATTATGCTTTGTGAAAATAATTTGCCAAAATATTTTTGGGCGGAAGCTACAAATACCGCTTGTTATGTGATTAATATAGTAATGATTATGCCTATTTTAAAGAAAACTCAATATGAAATTTTCAAAAATAAAAAGCCTAACATTAGTTATTTTTCATCCTTTTGGATGCAAGTGTTTTGTTTTAAATAATGAAAAAAACAATTTTGGCAAATTTGATGCTAAAAGTGATGAAGGGATTTTCTTGGTTACTCTTTAAATTCTAAAGCTTATCGAGTCTTTAATAAAAGAACTCTAGTGGTAGAAGAGATAATACATGTTGTTTTAATGATAATCTCATTTCGAGGAATGATTCTTGTATTGATGATGATATAGTTATCTTAAATCCAAATGAAGTTGGTAAATCATCATCAAAAGAAGTGAAGAATGAGGAAACTCAAGATTTCTTCAAGAATCTAACTCTAGAGGAAAGGGAAGTCACATACCCAAGGGAGTACAATTATGTAAAGAATGGTGAAATTTTGGATGATCCATCCAAATGGGTAACCACTAGATCTTCTCTTAAAAATATTTGTAATTATGTTGCATTTATCTCATGCATAGAGCCTAAGAATATCAAAGAAGCATTAAATGATGAACATTGGATTATAGCTATGCAAGATGAGTTAAATCAATTTGAGAGAAGTCAAGTGTGGACATTAGTTGAAATACCTAGTAATAAGTCTATTATAGGTACTAAATGGATATTTAGGAATAAATTAGATGAAAGTGATAATATAGTGAGAAACAAGACTAGACTTGTTACTCAAGGGTACTCTCAAGAAGATGAAATATGTTTTGATAAAACTTATGCTTTCATGGCTAGGATGGAGGCTATTAGAATGTTACTAGCATTTGCATGTTATCATGGATTTACTTTATTTCAAATGGATGTTAAAAGTATATTTTTAAATGGTTTTATAAAAGAAGAAGTATGTGTGGAACAACCTCCTGGTTTTGATGATTC